TTGTGCATAAGTGGAGGATAACAAACAGACCTTTTATGTATATTGCTCTTATATGTAATTACCTACTGTTTTGTATGGTGTTTGTTAAAAGAACCAATAAATAAATAATAAATAAATAAAATAAAGCATCTAATTATAAAAATAGCTCCGCGATTGAAATCGATTTTCTGTGGAAATAATAAACCTAAAATTCTGATTCAAAGACGATATGAGTGACGAAAGTGACGGCGAAAATACTGGTGCGCGAGAGAAAACGTCAAATACCAAAGAAAGGAAACTTAGTAGCCATTCTTTTGGAACAATGGATTTCACTCAAGCACAAATAAAAGAAATCATAGGAATGCCTAATATAAACAAAGATAATTCAATTCATACAAATCTTGATATGCCAAGCCCTAAAGTAAACATAAACGATCAACATAAACAACCTTTCGACTCGCCCGAAACCAACAAAAAAACCACAACAACAGCTGAAGGAAAAACGAAACAAAGCAACGACATGGATATTTTAACACCAGAGAAGTCAATCATTGGAACACCACCGAAACCGATTTCTGAAGACGTGAATACACAAAAAAGACCAAGATCAGAATCCAGTCCGTATATACTACAGGAGAGACAAAAAATTCGAAAACATACTGAAAATGACATCGGAAAAGTACTCACTAATAACGATGACAATATATCACATGAAAATAAGCTTCAAACACCAAACACGGAAAATACCATCGAAGCAATACTAGAAGCGTTAGGAAATATCCACAACCTTTCAGAAAAAGAAAATTTGGATAAAACCGATTTATCAGAAATGAGGAAAGCAAGCTTTATGCTACATAAAGCCGTTACTAGCCTTGTATATAGAGTAGGGCAACTAGAGAAGGAAAATAATATAAACCAGGAAAATAAAACAAAAAAATCATTTATTGAGCCAGTAGATTGTCCACAAAAACAAGAGGTGTCGGATAAAATCAGAAAAACATATAGCTCAATCGTAAATGAGCAAAAAAACCCTCAAAAATTTACATATTATGCTGCAGCGACACCAAATGAACAATCTGAAAAATGGACAACGCCAAAAACCACAACAAAAATAGAAACAATAATTCGAATAGATGAAATGAATGATCCAAAAGAAGTTGTGCAAAAACTGAAAAACGAAATAAGGACGAAAGATGTAGAGGGCGGTTTCAAAAATATAAGACATCTTAAAAATGGGGCCATAATAGTGGAAAGCCATAGCGAAACTCAACAAAAGAAACTCAAACATGCATTAGAAGAAAACATCAAAATTAAAGTAAAAGACATGGATAATACAGACCCAATGTTTATGATCACTGGAATTGAGAAAGGCCAAACCGACCAAGACTTTATAGATGAGCTAATAAGACTTAATATAGAAATTGAAAATGAATTACAATGCAAAGTAGGTGATAAAATCAAAGTTATTGCAAAAAAAAAATGTAGAAATCCAGACAAAGAAAATTGGATTCTACAAGCCCCTGCACACATAACAAAATGGTTTTTAAAAATGCAGACAGTGAATTTTGATTTGGTAAAGGTATTCGTCCAAGAACATGTGAACCTTGCAATGTGTTTCAAGTGTTCCGGATTTGGACATGTTGCTAAATACTGCAAAGAGAACATGTGCTGTCATAAATGTGGTAAGGAACACGCTGGTAAAGATTGTACTGAAACACAATGGAATTGTCCAAACTGTAAAAAAATGAAATACCCACAAGAAGAATGCTTTCATTCAGCAAGAGATTCTGGTTGTCCAGTTCTTCAAAAAAAACTGGCGCAATATCGAAACCATGTCAACTACTCAGGGACCGATTCTTTTTTATAAAACGTAAAGCAAGTACGTATACACCAAATAGTGCACTGGATGGTGCAAAGAGCTCACAGAAAGCCAAGAACTCCATAAGTGTAATTCATCAAAATGTGCAATCGATCGGAAACTCGGTGGAACAAATTAATTACATGCTGAAGGATCATCCAGAGTGCAAGATACTATGTGTGTCTGAACATTGGAAATCAGAAGAACAACTAATGAACCATAAAATTCAGGACTTTAATTTAGTGTCAATGTTTTGTCGAAATGAGGGAAAACATGGGGGCTCAGCAATATACTGCAGAAAGGGACTAAAAGGTACCAAAAGAACAAAAATTAATAGAACTTCTGTAAGTGGCGTTTTTGAATGTTCTGCTTTTGAATGTAGTTTTGGTAAGATGAAGACTTTATTTATTTCCATATATAGACCTCCATTGGGAGATATAAACATTTTTTTAGACAAGACTGAATCTTTGTTAATTGACGTATTTAAAGAAAGCAAGTTACTAGTCATAGCAGGTGATTTTAATATTGAACTTTTGCAAGAAAATAGAATAAGAACTGAATTACTCTCCATAATGAAATCTTTCAATGTAAATTTAACTGTATTGGAAAACACACGAATATCAAACAGGAGCGCAAGCTGCATTGATAATATATTCACAAATTTCGAATATGCACACGCCCTGGTATTTGAAAATCATATTTCTGATCACACGGCACAAAAGATTGTCTTTGAAATAAACAAAATATCGAAATCCTTTCCAAAATACAGAAGGTGTTTTAATACAGAAAATAAACAAAGTTTTGTAAGTAGCCTAGAAGAACAAAATTGGTTAGGTATATATGACAGTGAAAGAGAGGATGTGAATCAACAGTGGAATCTTTTTATGAATATTGTAAAAGGCCTATTCAATCAAAGTTTTCCTCGAAAATTAGTCGGCAAAAAATCAAAGAAACCCCAAATAAATGTACATACCAATGCAGACATCTTAGAATGTAAACGTCGGCTAGACATCTTATTAATGCTTTCTAGAAATAACCAACACCATAAGTTTTTATATAATAAACAGAAAAAAATATATGATAAAATGCTAATATCATTACGAACTGAAGAATTTGAAAAGAAAGTAAGAAACTCAGATAATAAAACGAAATGCATGTGGACCATCTGCAAGGAATTGTCAGGAAAAGAGTCAACTGATTCAGAAATAAAAATCGAGGGAAACTCTGAATGTATTGCCAATGAATATAACAAGCACCTACTATCAGTCATTCCAGAGCTCCTAAAAAAATTAACCTATATCCCGTTTAGCTGTGAGATAAAAGAAAATGTTGAATCTATGTTTTTAAGGCCAGTGCTACTTAATGAAATTGTTGAAATGTCAAAAAAATTAAAAAATAAACACAGTAGTGGAGTAGACGAGATCCCGACCAGTATTGTAAAACAGGTAGCTCCGGTATTGGGAAATATACTGTCATATATAATTAATAACTCATTTGAATTTGGAATATTCCCTGATAATTTGAAGATTGCACTTATCAAGCCGTTGTATAAAAAAGGAAACCCTAAAGATCTGGACAGTTATAGGCCTATAAGTTTGTTGCCCAGTTTTTCAAAAATCTTTGAAATGGCAATGAGTAATAGAATAATTAATTTTCTGAAGGAAGGGAACATTTTTAACCAGTGCCAGCATGGTTTTTTGAAGGATAAATCGACACAAACAGCTATATTTGAACTTATTAAACATATTTTATTTCACATTGAAAATGGGGAGTTGGTGCTTGGTATGTTGCTCGACTTATCAAAGGCTTATGACTGTCTAGATAGGGAAATACTACTTAAGAAATTAGAACTGTATGGAGTCAGAGGTAATGCAAAAGAGTGGCTCAGTTCATATTTGAACAACAGAAGACAATGTGTCAGCATAACAAAAGATGGGAAAACTGACCAGTCAAAAATATTATATAATGAAATAGGCATAGCTCAGGGCAGTATGTTGGGTCCAATTCTCTTCATAATTTTTGTAAATGACCTACCCCTTTTAATAAACAAGCCCTATCAACATATTGTGAAATATGCAGACGACACAAACCTACTTATTGGTATGAAAAAAATGCCAGAGTTACTAACCCAGTCACAATATTTTTTTGATATAGTCACAGAATGGTTCAATAAAAATAGATTGATATTAAATAAAGAAAAAACAAATATTTTAATGTTTAAAACAAAGCAGTCTACAGCAGCAAAGCCACAAACTATAGAACTGAATGATAAAAAAGTGGAGCTATCAAACAATGCAAGGTTTTTAGGCATTTATATTGACGAAAATTTAAATTGGGCACACCATATCAATATTTTAATTAAAAAATTGAACTCAATATGCTACGGGATAAGGGTCATTGGCAAATATATGAATGAGAGGACACTCAGGATGCTGTATTTTGCAAATTTTGAATCCGTCTTAAAATATGGTATTATTTTTTGGGGAAGGGATAGTCAAGTTCAGAGTGTTTTTGTAGTTCAAAAAAGGTTGATAAGAGTAATCACTAACAGTGGGTACTTGGAGAGTTGCAAGACAAAATTTAAAAATCTAGGAATAATGACCCTATATGGAATTTATATTTATGAATGTCTAATGTTCTTTTTTAAATACAAAGACAGTTTTGATATTGGCCAACAATGTAACTACAACACGCGAACCTTGGATGTTAGCTACCCATTACATAGACTTACATTAACAGAAAAGTGTCCTCATTATATGTGCCTAAAATTGTTCAATGCTCTGCCAGAAAATATGAAAAAAATTAAATCCCAAAAAATATTCAAACAAGAAATCAAAAAACTGTTAGTTGACCTAGAACCCTATAATTTAAGAGAATTTTGTAGAGACCTTTAACTTAATGTACCGATACCTAGTATTTACTTGTATGTATGACGTCATTTCTTTCTTTGTTGCACCTGTAATGTAATGATGATTTGAAATAAAGAATATTATTATTATTATTATTATTATATTGTAGAGATTGGTAGGTTTATATTTCAACTTTCCATTGGATATGCATATTATATTTTTAGATCCACATAAAACTATTTACAGCTTAATAGCTTTAGGGTGGATTGGTGCAACATGAGTATAGTAGTTAAATAAAATAAAGTTTGGCTCACCCGAATAATTCTATTTAAACATTCATCACTGGTCATACGAATATCAGCATCCGAATCATCGCACAATTTTAAGAAAGTCTCCAAGGTAACGCCAAGAAGGACATGGAAATTTGCTGAAACTTTGATGGTAGGATTTGAAATTGCCTCAGAAACAACATGGCAATGATGAATTTTCTCTTTTTTCCTGGAAAATAAAGATTATTTTAAAAATGTACTGCCTGATTAATTATTGTTTATTTGATTGTAAAATCTGTATACCTTGCTTGATCAAGAGGTTGGAGTTGAGATAATGTTTTTAGTACTCCTAGAGATTTCTGCAACCTTTCTTGTGTTGCCATTTTCCATTAACAATCGTACATTTATTAAAAAATATCAAATAACTTTTCTGTATTTTTATTTTTAGGATCTAATGTATATTTTTGTATTTTTTGTTATTGAATACAACCAAAACCAGCTGATGTCCAATTGACACTTGACACCACCAATCTGCTCTCGTGTGATCTCGGATGTGAAATAGAACACGATTCTATGATTATTCCGTTTGACCTATTTGTTAAGCTTGCTCCGATCGGCTTAGAGCAGAAAAGTTCGGCTTTCATTTAGTTTTTTATGTATTTGTATCCGGAGCAGCTGGCTCGAGATCGGCAAAATCATGCTCGACTCGTACCAGAGATATTCATTCGCCTCCTTTTTTTAGTTAGTGTTTATTAACTAAACGGCACTTGTCCAAAGCAGCAACTTGTTTGTTATCCTTCACTAATGCAGTGCGCTAATTTACACTTTTCTGCACTAAGGCGTTTGTTATGCGGTTCCTGCAAATAGTGTAAGTTTGTTGTTTCAGTGGAAGGAGTGAAAGGAGCTACACCAGTACTCTGCACTGACCTAAGGTACACAAAAAGTAGAGCACGAACGTATACTTCCATCTCTTTTTCCAATTATGAACTTTCTTGATACAAAAATCTGTAATTTTTATCTGAATAGTTGGAAATAGATAATTATGATGTTATGTAATATAATTTATATTTATGTAATTGTATAATTGTGGTTTTATTAATGATCTACTAAACACTGGCTACATGAGAGCAATGCCTAAATGAGAATATTGAGAATGAAAAATAGCCTAAATATTATATTAGCATGTTAGGTTTGCACATTTTGGGTTGTTGCTAGGTTGCTAATTTGTCCTTGGATAATATTTCCTGGTTTCCATCGATTATTCATCAAACACGGCTATTTAGTTCATGTCGAATGCCTTTTCCTTTGTTACGCCTGCTGTAAGAGAAAGACAGCCTAGAACAGCTGATGATAGTCAATCCTCAATGGAAATTTTCATTTATTTATTTTGACATTCAATCAACCGGCTGATGTGTACCTCAACACCTGAAATTCAGGAATTTTCCACTCATTTTTTTATTTCCGTTTGTGCGTGTTGTGTGGCTTAAAATTAAAATTAAATCCCGGTCAGTGTTCGCACTTATTTTTAGCCGAGCGTTACGTACAATTTTGTAATGGCCAATTCATCGTTCGACCGGCTCAAAGAACTGAATTTGTCTCGCGATGAAGTGAACCGACTCGGACAGGCTCTGAGAAAGGACGATTTCCGAAAACTTTTGGTTAGTTGTGTGGAAGAAGTCCAGGACCCGGTGAACCGGCAAAAATATGAGAATGAGGTAAAGCAATTTGAGAGAGAAAGAGGTCAGGAAGTAACATTTTTACATCCAACACCGGGCTATGTTATTAAAACTAGCATCAATGGCAACCAAAAGGGCTTTATCAATATTTGCTCTAACGATGGCATAAGTAAACCCTCTTCCTCTCTTACTATAAAAGACGGAGCCAAAGGCCTTCAATGGTCCTTACCCCATTCACTATCGCCTCCTCACAATGAGATAGACAATAAGGGGGTAGAATGTCAAGTTTATGATGTACTTTTCCACCCTGACACATTGCATTTAGCTAGTAAAAATCAAGAACTTCGTTCTATGGTCAATAATGTAGCCCTGACAGCCATAGAAAACAACTTTGATGTTGTTTTAGACAAGAAGAATCTAAAATTTCCTAATATAATGTTTAAGGGCATGAAAAGGGCTAGCCTATTGAGAAAACCTACTGAGGACAAACCTCAAGCCGAAATCAATGATAAAATTTACACAGAAATTGATTCTAGGCGCAACCAAAAAAGCCCTACTAAAAAAAATACCAAAACCCGAAGAAACAGTAATGAGGATAATTCAGTTTACACCAAACCAAAATACATCATAAAACACCGGTCTTATGTAGACATGACAGACTTCACAGAACATAAAAATGCAAAAATGAATGCATCTATCCCTAAAGAACTTATTGTTGAAATTGATCTGCCACTACTTAAATCTTCTGCCAATATGGATTTGGATGTTACTGAGAAAAATGTGCAACTTGTGAGTGAAGAACCTGCAAAGTACAAATTGAATCTGACACTACCTCATAGGGTAAATGATGTAAGCGGCAGTGCAAAATTTGATAAAGATTTGAGGAAATTGATTATTTCTTTGCCTGTTAAGAACCAATGTGCTTATGAGGCTGATAGTGGAGTGGAAAGTTGTATTGAAGAAATTGATTTGAATGGTCCTAACAGTCCAGAGTCTGCCAATGATGAATTAAGTGATTTAAAAAGTTTTGGTTCCCTTCATCTCAACGATACATACTCCACCCCTGAATTTACTTGTAATATATTCAACAACATTGTTGCATTTACGTTTCACATCAAAAATGTAGATGAGAGTAGTGTCAGTAAAGTTGCCTGCTCAAAAACCTCTTTTGTCAATGTGAAATTCACCAGTATCAGCTCTAATTATTATCCTACTTGCTACGCATTTTGTGTGAAATTTCCTCAACATGAAATTATTGAAGAAGATGTAAACATAGAAACATGGGACAACAATGTTATTTTGCAAATTCCATTGAAGGCTAGTGAAAAGAAATTTGTGTCATATTTGTGTGGTAGAAGTGAGTACGATTTGAGCGAAAAATGTATTGAAGAACCTGCTGTTATTAGCAAAAATTTGGAAGTTGCAGAAATAAATGAGAAAATACAGGCCAAACAAGAGAAATTCACAGATACCAAGCTCAAAAGTAATGCCATAGATATCCTGGCTACTTCCTATGGGTCAAGTGGCGATGAGTTAAGCGCTAGCAGCTTAAAAAATGAGAAAATACAGGCGAAACAAGAGAAATTCACAGATAACAAGCTCAAAAGTAGTGCCATAGATATCCTGGCTACTTCATATGGGTCAAGTGGTGATGAGCTAAGCGCCAGCAGCTTTTCACCAAGAAAAAGTAGCAAAGGTATTCTCAAAAGGATATCAAATAAAAGGGCCTCATTTGGCAGAAGTGTGTCTGAATCCAGCTTGGACGATTACCTGTGCTCTTCCTATGAAAATTATGGGTTTAGCAATATTGAGTGTGTCCCTGAAGAATCTCGAGAAGGAGAAGATGAAGAGTTGGCTTCAAGTTTGAAGAAAACTGTCAGATTCAATGATGTGGTTTCAAAGCAGTTATTCAGGTGAGATGAAATTTGTAACATGTCTTTATATTTTCTTGGACATATTTATTTTCATAAACCCAGATTTTAAAAAACCTCTGGCAAAATTAAGTATAAATCATTTTTAAATGTAGATAAGTTTAAAAATGCAATAGTTGTGATAATAAACTCGATAATAAATTGTTATCATTAAATGAAAGAATTCACTATTATTAATAATGAATGCTTTTATTCAGATAAGAACCCTAATCGCACATCTCTTAAGCTAGAGGAGCAAAGTCAGCAGAATCGAAAATCAATACATGGAACATTAAAGGCTTATTAAAGGGTAATTAAATGCCCTAATGAGAAATTTTAGGTTCCTTGAATTTTCGCGAAAATGACTGTTCTGCTAGCTTTAACTTAAGTAGTAGAACATGAGCAAAAAAGTGGCTAAAATAACGAAAATGGCAATTCCACTTGAACAGACAATAAAGGCTCATTGAAGGCTCTGAAAATACACCAATCGTGAATTTCAGGATCAATTATTTTTTGTGTGAAAATGCAGAAAGCGCGAGGCGTGGTTGATGTTGGCCAAGCATGGCAGAAAAATCTCTCAGACGGCGAAAATCAGTGTTCCGATAGTGCAGTCGTTGTGAGTACATCAAAGGCTAATTAAATGCTGTAATGAGAAATTTTAGGCTCCGCCAATTTTCGCGAAAATTGCTGTGTTGCTAGCTTTAACCTAAGCCAGCAGAACCTGAGCAAAAAAGTGGCTAAAACGACAGAAATTGCAATTCCACTTGCACAGGCATTCAAGGCTCATTAAAGGTTTCGGAAATACACTAATCGCCAATTTCAGACATTTCTAAACTTACCATTAACGTTCCAATAATAACCTGGTACTTTGCAATTTTAATCAGACTTTTCCAATTTTAATCAGACTTTTCCAAACTCACTAAATCAAAAAAGTAATTGAGCCTGAAATTTGTGATTGGTGCATTTCCAGAGCCTTTAATGAGCCTTCAATGTCTGTGCAAGTGGAATTGCGATTTTCATTGTTTTGACCACTTTTTCGCTCATGTTTTGCTGGCTTAGGTTAAAGCCAGCAGAATAGCTATGAAATTGGCGGAGCTTAAAATTTCTCATAACCGCATTTAATTAGCTTTCTTTAATGTATTCACTACGACTGCAACTATCGGAACACTGATTTTCGCCGTCTGAGAAGTTTTTCTGCCATGCTTGGCCAACATCATCCACGCTTCGCGCTTTCTGCATTTTCACAAAAAAAAGTAATTGAGTCTGAAATTTGGGATTGGTGTGTTTCGAGAGCCTTTAATGTCTGTGCAAGTGGAATTGCAATTTTCGTTGTTTTATCCACTTTTTCGCTCATGTTCTGCTGGCTTAAGTTAAAGCTAGCAGAACAGTCGTTTTCGCGAAAATTCAAGGAGCCTAAAATTTCTCATTAAGGCATTTAATTACCCTTTAATGAGCCTTTAATGTATTGATTTTCAATTCTGCTGACTTTGCTCTTCTATCCTAAGAGATGTCTTAATCGCAATAGTTTTATTATTATTATTATTTGAGTTATTATTATTATCTCAATTAGGTATAATGATAGTGTTACTTTTTGCACAAAGTTATTTGCCTAGAGACAAATAGGCCAGTCAATGAGGCTTCGGAATTAGCAATAATTACAAACAATGTGAAATTTGGGATTTACGTTTTGTATGACAGAAAAATGAACTATAAAAATTTGCACCTACCAGTGACATGCGGAACATTGTTTTTTTTATAAAAATTAAACAATTATTAATTGCTTCTTCCCAAAAATTGCTAACAAAGTGCAAATTAACGAAAACGCGACGACTGATGTTCCAAATCTTGTTTATTGTTAAAAAGTATTATATAGTTTTTGGAAAAAATGCTAACAAGGTGCAAATTAGGATGATGCACCGTAAATGCCAAACAAATAATTGTATAAATTTGCACCTTTCAATCTCCTTCGGAAATGAGCGATTTGCAGTATCATATATGAAAAAACACCATTATTTGGAGGGAAAATTGCTAACAATTCAAAAATTAGGTGCAAATGTTCAAATTGATTGCCATAATGTTATGCAACATTTGCACCCAAAAATATTAAGCGGAAACCTTTTTTTTCTAATTTTTGTTTTTTACAATAACTATTGACATCGAGAAAATTACAAACAGGTTGCAAATCACAACAGCAATTCTAAATAATATTTCAACCCTTACTTCGAGTTTGCACCCCTATATGAAGCACGGAATAAGAAATATCTCCAAAACATCACTCAAATAATATTTACGCTGTGCCGCGCCACAGATTATTTTTAATATTTTAAACTTATTCCGTGCTTCATATAGGGGTGCAAACTCGAAGTAAGGGTTGAAATAATATTTAGAATTGCTGTTGTGATTTGCACCCTGTTTGTAATTTTCTGGATGTCAATAATAATTATTGTAAAAAACAAAATTCAGAAAGAAAAGGTCTCCGCTTACTTAATATTTTTGGGTGCTAATGTTGCATAACATTCTGGCAATCAATTTGAACATTTGCACCTAGTTTATGAATTGTTAGCAATTTTCCCTCCAAATAATGGTATTTTTTCACATATGATAATGCAAATCGCTCATTTCCGGAGGAAATTGAAAGGTGCAAATTTATACAATTATTTGTTTGGCATGTACGGTGCATCATCCTAATTTGCACCTTGTTAGCATTTTTTCCGAAAACTATATAATACTTTTTAACAATAAATAATTTTTCATTGTGTTCCGCGTAATGAAAAAAGGTGCAAAATTAATACAAGATTTGGAAGATCAGTCGTCGCGTTTTTGTAAATTTGCACTTTGTTAGCAATTTTTGAGAAGAAGTAATTAATAATTGTTTAGTTTTTACAAAAAAAACAATGTTCCGCACGTCACTGGAAGGTGCAAATTTTTATAGTTCATTTTTTTGTCATGCAAAACGTAAATCCTGAATTTCACATTGTTTGCAATTATTGTTAATTCCGAAGCCTTATTGACTGGCCTAAAATTGGTGTAGTTCAAAAAGGGAAACCTTTTTTTGTTTAAATATTCCTTAAGGGTATACTTTTAACATACTTAATATCAATAGGCCCCTTGCATCAAATTTTTTTATTGCTGATTTCGATAGTCCATGAAAAATAAGTCAACACGTGTTTTTTCTTTTTCTTCTTAGTCAAAAATTGACGGAGATACAACGCTATGAAATATGCCTATGACGTCATCAGGTATAATACTTTATGACGTCGCACATGCTCAGTATATCTATATATACAAAACTTAATATTTGTATAACTTCCGGAATAATCATATTTGGGCGAAATGAAAAAAAAGTAACGATTTTTTTTCGATTTCCTACAGTTTGCAATAAACAATAATCAATTTAATTTTCCATGCAAGTACCCTGCGAAATGAAAAAAAAGTAACGATTTTTTTTCGATTTCCTACAGTTTGCAATAAACAATAATCAATTTAATTTTCCATGCAAGTACCCTATTGTTCAAACAGTAGTAGTTGCCCTACTCTGGATTTTTTTAAAATCCCTAAGTGAATGTTTAGCCAAAATTAAAATTCTCTAAAATTGATCTTGAAAAGATATTTCAATATTTATCACAGTTTTTGGGATTTGGCCGGCTAGGATTTCCAGGAAGTAAAAATTATAATAGCCCTCGGCCTTTCTGTGCTTCTATGCTGTTGTACCACATAAAAGAGAAGAAGACTTTGTTGAAGCAAATAAAATAAGTAAACAAAAGCGTTTTATCCTTTTCTCAACCTTGACACACATTAATGAATAATTATCCATTCCTATTTGCTTGATATCAGTATCTCTAATTTTTATAGCTATCGCAATGTATTATGTAATAATAATATAATTTAAGGAAGAAATATGGTACTGACTACTCCACAGTCTTCAGATTGGAAATTTAAAAAAATATATAACTTGGCAAATATTGTGAGATTAATTTTTATTTATTTTTCCATTAGCATCTTCAAATAATTACACAGCAAAAACAAAAAAAAATCCTATGAAATCAGTATTTGTTGCTAATTTGTTACTAATAAGTTCATCATGTTTCTAATTTTTTTGCTTTGGAAAATTTTGAGAATATATTAAACATGCCAACTTGATATGTATCAAGCTAGCATATACATATTTTTAAATACAAATAAACTCTAGTTTTTGTTGCTCATTTTTTGATAATTGTCCATATTTTAAATTTTTTTGGTTTTGAAAATTTCTAGAAACTAGCAACAAAATAAACAGTAACAGTTAATATCAAGCTAGCATGAAAACAGTTTGAATATTTTCAAAAAATCAAAAACTCAGTGGACTAGGTATTTGTTGTTACCACTAGATTTTTTTCTGTTTTTGGTTTTGTCATGCTAGCCATCTTAAAATATCTTCATCTCTCAGTAATAACCAAAAACGCATTCAAAATCGCAGGGACTTAGGTACAGTGGTCTTTCATGAAAACTTCAACTTATCAGCAGGCTCAAAAATGCTCATGCATAAAAAAAAAACTACTTCGTGCAACTTTAGGACTCTGGCACGCCTATAATCGGAAATTTTATGAGGAAATGCCAAGCAATACTATAGTGAAACGTTTTTAAATTTATCTAAATCTTTTATGTTTTTCCAGATCCAACTCCAGCATTCTTGGCCAGAAAAAGAAAAATCAACGTAAAGCTCGCAACAAGAAGCGTGCCCACGAGCGTCGCTACAGCGAAAGCGAAGCTTCGGATGTTGACAGCAAAAAGGAGGGAGATAACCAGACTAATAGTGAGACAGAGAAAGAGAGCAAGCCTGAGGAGAACGTCGCAGTTAAAAAAGACGACAGCGACATCTTTCATTTGGAAATTAATAATTAATTCACAGTTTGTGTCTTAATTGTTTCGCTTATTCAAAAATCATATTGATTCTTTATACCTACTTAGTTTTTTTAGCAATAATTTTTTTTGTCAAAATTTGTAATAGATAACTGACAGTTTTTGGCGGCAGCACTAAAATTCAAATTCATTTTTCAAAGTCGTTTTTTGTACCTCAGTGATCATTTTATGGTTTAAAAAACTTGGTACTTCGTCTTTATCCCAGTGGTTGCATGTTGCATGATTGAATTTTGTCTTTTTTGTTGGTTGGATTTGATATTGAAGTACAACAAAAAAAAAGCTGTGGGAAATACATATTACATAATAATTGTTTGGCAAAATTATTATTATAAAACTAACACTGTTATTATTTTACATTTTTACAATTTTATTAGAACATCCATATGTGGGATGAATACTGTTTTAGAAATAAAAATATGAAATATTTATTTTTTGTTTTATTATTCCAATTAGAAACTCACTATCATTACTATACCACACTGGCTCCAAAAAGACCTAATAGAACATAACATTCCAAGCTTATTTGGCTTCTTTCAGTTTTGCGATTTGAGGTTGTAATTTAATTTACTACTATTTTGAGTAAAATTTGAACCTTGGTTATATCAGAATCTAAAACTTCGATGATTATGACCAAGGATGAAATTGTGTTCAAGTCCTGCTAAGCTGTGGTCCTGCCACTTGAACTGATTTTTAGTGAGGCCTCAATATTTCATAACATTTCTGAAAAATATTTGGCTCAAAAGTTGACCTGTGTTTTTTTCTGAATAACTCTCCTTTGTTGAGAGATCACATTGGCTGGCTAGAGAATAAACTCATAGGGTACATTCCTGTACATTCAAGCGATGCCAGCGGCTAAGTTGAACCACTCGCTGAGTCGCTGAGCTTAGCCGCTGGCACCGTCTGAATGTACCCATTGTTTATATTAGCAGGAGCTCCAAGCTATAAATGATTAAAATTTTTTATTAAGATTGGGTTTAAAATTTAAAGGTAGGTATTATTTGGCAGAACCACCTAGTTGATAGAATTTTTATTTTAGTAAATATATTTCTTTTTTTAATTGAATCTTACCATCCAACACTCCAAGTTGGGTGATTCGAAGAAATAGGTACATTTATTTTAGCTTTGAAATATAGGTGTAGGTTCAGTAGATGATAATTATTTATCTATATCATTAGGCCAAGAAGTCAGTATTTTTGTGCTGCGCGCAACTAATTTTACCTTTTTTTGTATTAAGTAGTAAAGTTTTTGCACATGGACTTTTTTCGATATTCAAAGATAATGGCAGTTCGAAAAAAAATTATTTTTTAAACGTTATAAAAGTACCTTTTCTACATTTAAAATCGAGGAAAAAATAAACTCCCAAGCACAGCAATCCTTTGGGGTCTGCAAGTGACGTCACTACTATTGGCTGCTGATACTTCTGACGTCACTTGCAGACCTGCTGCCGACCTGCTGAGCAATCCTATTTAACGATTCTTAGTTGTTTGAATTTCCATTATCGTTCTATTTCTACAATTATATTATTTTAAAATGTCCATATTATCTCAGATCAGTGGGAAAACCCCAACTTAAAGAACACAATATTCAAACGAGAAACTGGAATAATTTTCGAACAGTTAGAGCAACACTGGGTTACGCTCAGTGCATTTTCGAACGTATCCCTTGACAGAAATCATGTCGTTTCCGGTTAGTAGAGTTAAGTGCAATGAAAATGTGTTTCTATCTGTTTCCCTTGCAGGCTGAGAGAAAGAGTTAAAAATACACGCAGCTCAGTACACATTTCCAACTGACAGTTGATTTCCGAATGACACTTCCTAACCCTAATTTTTTTTAACAATACCAAAAAACAAATAAACAATAAACTATTCTATTTTCAAAATTGTTCATAACATCAAACAACAAAAAAATGTGCGAAAATTCTCGCTTGAAACATCCAATTTACTAATTTTCATTATTTTTCATAGTTGAATTGAATCGGCGTTGAACTTGGTAGAAATTATCTTCCAATTCAAGATTTGGTGAGTTTAGATTACGAATATACCTTCATTTTCAGAATTTGTTAATACATATAAAGTTAAAATATTGTTTCGCTACCAAAAGTGAAAATTGGTTTCATACTTCCAAAGGAGCTACAGTTTAGCCGAACATATTGAGTTTATTTAAACAAATTGTGGACTGTGGATGTTTTTTTAACTTAACTTAGCAAACCTTTGGCTTTGAATTACATTATTTGAATTTCAATTATTTAAAAACTACGATTATTATCAATTTAGATACCATACCATCAGTTATCAAGTTATCAATAGACATACAATTTTCTGTTGAATGTCCAAAACCTTTTACAGTGTAGGTGTCTTCGAAATTTGATCATAAATTTTTCTGACAAACATTTTTATTCTCTGAAATCACCTCATTGTCTTGGAAATATAATGCATAATAGGTACAAGGGCTAAAATTTAAACCAACCAAGGGGTACCACCACCAACTCAGTACACTCTAAACTATCCTTACAATATTTCAGATATTTACCTATGACTTTTTTTCATACAGATAGGTATTCCAGTATTATGAGGTTGTTCCTTGCAATTAACAAGACCTTTGTGGAAGAGATCATTCTCTCCAACACTGAAACTGTCATGTAAAAGTGATCCTTGAAGTTATCTTTAAAACAAGTTAATATATAGTTATCTGGTATAAGTACCTAAACCAAAAATGTCTCAATATATGCTCGCAGCATAAGCCATGTTTTCTTACCAGTATTTGTTACTTCCAAAAGTTTCATAAGTGAGAATAAGGTACCTTTTCACCTATTTCTAATTTTGCTTTTTTGGAAGTACCTACCTATCTCTATCTCTGTATTGTTGAGTGAAATACAGTAAGTAGGTACTTATAATAGACAAACAATAATTATAGTGAGGCAATAATTGTTTTTTTTATTGTTAATCTTGCCAGTTCACTAACATCAGGAACTTATGAGCCTCAAGAGATGTCTGTCAAACTGGCAGGATAATCGCAGCAAAAACAAAAAAAAATCCTAGTGGAGTATTTGTTGCTGATTAGCTATCATATTTACAATTGTAGCTAATTTTGAGGAAATAACTACTGTGCTAACTTGATCGCTCGGAAAATCGTTTAAATATTTTTAGAAGCCAAACATTTATAATGGACTAAGTATTTATTTATTGCTAATTAGTTAAAATATTTTTACTTTTTTGCTTAGGAGAAACTAACAAAAAAAAAACTATAGATAGGTACCTAATTATTTTGAGTTTTTTTCACAAAACAGATTCTTTTTTTAATACCAAATCTCTTTTTAAAGGGAAGAACTGCCTCCTATCTCACAAATCCCATGATGAAGAACCAACGATTTAGGAAGCAAAATGGCGCCATCAGAAACATAATGCCCTGAGAGTCTGAGCATATTTGCAAAGTTGTCAATTATGCAACAAAAATGTAAGTAAACAATTCTTAATTGCTTCATAATTTGTTATTATTATTTTTATTTTGACTATAAATTATCATTCCCATTCTTGCTTCACACACTTTAAGTCTGGCACACTTGCAATGTATGAGCAGTTGTCTAGTTCTGTTCTTGATTTTAGGTGTTTATATAGTTCTTGAAGCGCCGTTATATAGGTGTGATTGGTGTTGGATTGTTCATAAAGTCTATAGACTTTTTCGAGTGCGTGATCTGAGAGTTTGGACGCTGATTGGGTAGATTTTCGGGCCTCACTAGGGCCTTGGGTTATTGGTTTAAATTGAGTGCTGGTTGCCCCAGTCGACCCCCTAATTTTGAACATTCAGCGTCCAAAATCTCAGATCACGCACTCGAAAAAGTCTATAGACTTTATGAACAGAGTTTAATATATTCCATAGTCTGGATTGTATCTTATGCTTTTTGTAGGTCCACAAATGTGACGTGGATCTCCAAATGTCTAGCAGATTTCTTTTCTATAACTTGCTTTAGGCAAAATATGTTGTCTGTACCTGGTCTTCTTGCTCTTCTTCAATGAGATCACTCAGGATTCTACCATATAGTCTGCTTAGTGTGCCTGTGACTGATATGCCCCTATAGTTATTGCAGTCCAGCTAATTTATTTTTTTGTGAATGGATGATATAAAAGTCGTTTTCCAGTCTTGTGGAGCAGGATGTCCATTCAGGCATTTATTGATAATGTATGTGGGACCTTTAAAGGGCTTTTCAGTTCCCCTTTCGGCATTTCGGGGTATATCCCTTGTGGGCTGCTAGCTTTACCTGACTTAAAATTCTTAACAGTCTTTTTTACTGTTTCTTCAGATATGTCAACTACTCCATGTACTTCAATATGTCTTGGAGAATCTAATGTATATTCCGGTTTACTTTCTTGTAATAGACCCTTGTAGTGGTCTATCCATTGCTCTAGTTTGATTACCTAGATATTAGCTCTGTGCCGAGGGGGTAACAACTGGGCCAAAATTTGTACATGTATTGCGCATTACATGAGTAATTCCGGTAATTCCAATGTAATTCCAGTAATTACATAATAATGCCATGTAATTTTATGTAATGCCATTATAATTATGTATACCTAGGCTATATGAAATAGTTTCACAGTTTTACATAAACCGACCAGAAAAACAAACCATTATACATTGTTGGAAACAAACATCACATCCTATAATTTGTACATATTTATTATTATTCTATGGATAGTTATTTTTCTAAGGCTCTGGTTATTCATCTTCAGATAACCTTGCTGGTAACTATCTGCAAGATAAATTCACCATTCTATAATTCCATTGGTCAGCCGATAACTGGCCGAAAACAACAATGGGATTACAGACTACGTTTTTTTTCCGTCAGATTGCCTACCTGACAGTTTATCAGAAAAAGGTAAATAAACCGGTCCTAAATCTGGATAAAATGCTAAATTTTTCTCATAATCTATTTTACAAAAACTTCAGCAAAAACCGTTTCAACTTATTAAATACATATTGTCTTCCATTTTGGTAGATTTTTACAATGGTTAATTTATCCCTCGATTTATCCTGTCTCAAGAGTTGAAATGGTTCTGATCCAATGATTTTATTGGTCCATAAAAAAATGTAAGCCTTGTCTGCAGATTGTACGTCATTGTCATGAGGCTATATGAAATTTCTAGATCATAGCTTTGTTTGGGTTCGAAAAAAGGACGGTTCTAAATAATCGCACAGTCTATCAATCAACAAAAAACAATGGCTCGGCTATCAAAAATTTCAAAACTGAACTGTGCGATTGTTTTGAACCATTCTAGAACTGTCCTTTTTTTGAACCCCAACAAAGCTCATAATTTTCAATGGGCTCTTTCACTAAAATTTAAATACATAATTTAAGTATAAAATCCCAAAGGAGGGACTATTTTAGGCATATATACAAAAAAAAAAATGTCTACAAGGTTAAATAAGTTTT